AGATCCTCATCCGATAGCCCCGTTAAATTAAGCTCATCCACAATATCTAGCATATGTGTGGTATCTCGGACGCGACAAGAAATAGAATCTAAAGCTATTTTACAATATTTTTCAACGAACAAAGATAAATTCTCTGTGGGCGTACTACATCCCGAGGTAATGACCCGTGCGGGATTGTCAACTTTGTGAGTTTTAATCAAAGGGTAATTAATACCTGGATGTGTGCTATTAGTGTTAGTAATGAACTTAATCCACTTAGCAGACAAACCCATAGGTTGCCATTTGTTTATCCATTGTTCAATCTCTAAACCAGTCTCAGACGATGGATCGTAGCCTACGTTTTTAAAACAACCACGCTCCATCTGTTCTTTAACCTTATCAGCATCAAGTTTATTATCCAGAAATACAAAATTGTTACTCTTGTCTTGTAATCTCACTATTAGATCTCGTTCTTCAAAAGGAGTGGAACGAAACTTTTTTAGGGCTGTCCGTTCTTCCACTGATAGATTATCGCTTACCTCTTTTGCTGTTGATTTAGCAAACAAGTCCTTTTCCACTCTTGACAAAAATACTTCAATAGCTGGAACATTGGCCAAAGGTGGTTCCTTTACAGATTTCTGATACGGTGGCTCGAGTGGGTCAATTGCAAATTCGGGACCATCAAGTGCTTTCTCTGGTGTGTAAAACCATGTACGCCATCTAACTTTTTTCTTAAAATCCATCCAATTTAATTGCAGTTCATTCCAGTCAATGCTAGTGGGTGTAGGCACAAAGGAAGGACCACGACCGCACAATTGAACTAAAGATTGTTCTATATTCTTATCTGTAAGGTTGACTGGCTGGTATCCATGCGGTCTATTTATTGGCTCTGAAGTTAAGGTTGAGCTATTCGCTGTAGGCCTTGCAGTTCTCAGCCCATCTCGTGAATACTTTCTCAGACGTGACATCTCAAACGTATCTTTCAATTTACGAGTCCGCTCTTCCAGCTTAGACATAATGTGATGGGCCTTTTCAGGATAAAGTCTTTTAATAGCTTGCGTGAGTTCCCATTCTTCCTTACTGAACGAGGGGATTTTATGTTTGTAATATGCTTCAAATAAACCCATAAGTTTGACTGAGCATTTCCTCAATGTAGAGTTAACTCGCGATGTAATAACTGAGTCAGCAACACCAGAATGAAATTTCAACAGGAAACCCTTCGGGATACATTTATACATGTTCGATAACGCCCAAGTAACGTAACGTGATGCTGAAATCGAACTGCTTTCTCACGGCAAGCAAATAAACGGTTAAATAAATAACTAACTTCGAAACGCTCCATGGAGACAGAGTAAAGTTTTATCCCAGTGCTCCTGATATTCAAAAAATTTTTCGTAAACATCGCTCTGTTTTAGATAGTGATGAACAGGCCAAAAATATTCTACCGGAGGGTGCCATTCTTGTTTCGTATAAGCGTAATGCCAATTTGAAGGAGTTATTAGCACCATCTAACCCATATAAGCCTAATAAACTGGAAGGTGAAGGCTGCTACAAATGTGATGCCAAGCGCCGTGATAGTTGTAAGAACTTTTTGATTTTTGGCAATTCCTTTCGTGCAGCTGCCACTGGAAGGATATTTCTAATTTTAAAATCTTTGACGTGCACTTCCAGTAATGTAGTGTATCGTATAAAATAACAATGTTTTTTCGCTACTCTGAGTTTCACGATCTTGTCTGGTCGATCTTCAGGCGATTTATATATATATATATATATATATATATATATATATATATATATATATATATATATATATATATATACATATATATATATATATATATATGTAACAAACAGAACGGCTACGTTTGAAGAAGTTTATTAAAAAAAGGTATATTAAATACAAAAACTAAATTTTCGGCTGCATGCCAGCAGAAGGAAGAAGGCTGTGGCATGCAGCCGAAAATTTAGTTTTTGTATTTAATATACCTTTTTTTAATAAACTTCTTCAAACGTAGCCGTTCTGTTTGTTACATATGAAGTCTTGTCGGCTGAGCAGAGTACTGGCATTTGTCACATATATATATATATATATATATATATATGGAATAATTTATCCAATACTTATTATTTCCATATTCAAATTTTTCCGTTTCCTCTACATAACATCATATCTGGCATCTAGATTTCCCACACTTCCTCATACCCTTAGCTTTACCTGTATCAGCGTCTCTTTTTATTTTAGATCTTACTAAATTATCCGCTAAATTTCGAGGTCTTCTAAACGAAATCAAAGGCTTTTTATCTAGATCTTTAAACACTTCTTTCATCTCATCCGAAGCATGTATTATCGACCATAGAGAGTTAACCTTATCATTCACTTCCGACAACGCTGGATGAAAATTCAAAACTAAAGGTATTACGTTCGAATCCACAAGCTTTTCCTTATTTTGATGCAACAAAGCCTTCCTATCCTTACTCTTAACCTTTTCGCATTGCGACGATATTCTTGTTTTTTCAAAACCTCTTTTGTGCAAATAACCTTTAAATTCCTCAATCCGTTGATCAAATTTACTTTCCGAACTACAAATACGTCTCAATCGAAGTGCCTGCCCGTACGGAATAGCCTGTTTTACATGCTTCGGGTGACATGACCGAAAATCCAAATACTGATGTGTATCCGTAGGCTTTGAATACACATCAGTAGAAATCCCCCTCCTATTTCCTTACAGATTGTTACATCAAGAAATGACACCTGATTTGCAGAATAATCCCAAGTATAACGGATTGTTTCGTGAAAAGAATTTATGAAATTCAAAAACTTTTCCAACTTTTCGATGCCATGCAACCAAATAAAGAATATATCATCCAAAAACCTCCAACATACCCATGGTTTAAATTCGCATTCTTTTAGCATCCTTGCTTCCAAGACATACATAAATATATTGGCATAGGCCGAGGCAAATTTTGTCCCAATAGCTGTAGTCCCTGTTTTTGCCAATATATTTCTCCGTCAAACTCGAAATAATTATTTTCCAAAATCAAAGTAGCCATTTCAATCAAATTAACCCCATCCACATACCACTCATTCACATTAATTTTCTCCTTAAATTCGCTCAAAACTTTTTTCATACTATCCAAGCCGTCTTTGTGAGGTATGTGGATAGAGTCCAACTAGATCTATTGTCCCAAAAATAGCTCCCTCCGGTATATGCCCTAACTCATCCAATCTCCTAAGAAAATCCGAAGTATCACTTAAAACAGTGGGCAAAACTTTTACAATAGGATTAATATGATAATCTACAAATTCAGAAATCCTCTCCGTTGGCGTTCCGCAATTAGACACCACTGGCCTACCCGGTACATCGACTAAACTTTTATGAATTTTGGGAAGCAAATAAAACCTTCCCAAATTTAAATTCTCCCCTTTAAGATACTTCAAATTTGCCTGGGTAATTTTGCCCTCCCTTGCATAATTATGTAATTTTTCATCAATGAGAGCAACAACTTTATTTATGGGATTATCCAAAAATTTTTCATAAACATCGTCATCTTTTAACTGACGATAAGCTTCCTTTCGATATTCATCTAAACCCCAAACTACAACCGCTGAACCTTTATCGGCCTTTTTAATAACAATATCAGAATACTCCTTTAAATTTCTAATTTATATATATATATATATATATTTATATATATATATTTATATATATATTTATATAATTCTGATTCTTTAGGAATAAACAATGGCTAAATTTAAATTGTTCATTTTGGTTGTGAGTTTCCTGTTGTATCTGGTCGACGTAGGATTGGATGTTTACGTTGCGATTCAACACTTCAAGAATGGCGACGAGCTGTTTTTTGCCATTACAGTTGCTGTTGTTGTTTTATCGACCATTCTTGTGAATATTTATGCAACAACGGTCTTGAATGCAACAACGGTCTTGAAACCAATACCGTTGTACGTACGAATATTCTTGTATATCAGCCATTTGTCCATGATTTATCTGTTCATTCGCGAAATCTGGCGGTGCATAAAGGAAAATTACAGCGAGAAAGCTCATCCCTGTAACGGCCAAAATCATTTTTCTGAATGTATCTGCGGGCAGTGCAAAGCACAACTGAGAGAAAGTGTTAAATCATCTCTGAATATGTCGTACGTGCGTTCTATGGAAACATTCATTGAAGCGGTACCACAATGGCTTCTGCAGGTGTATATAATGATCTATAAACAGTCTTATCGTTCGTATGTGATAACATCAGTTATAATTTCATTTATAACCCTGCTGTATAGCGTGTTTATGCTCGAAAAAAATTATTGGATCCACAAAATCGTCGTGGACCGTCCCAGCATACAGCCATGTTTTCCAAGTAAATCTACAGTTATTTTCGTCCTTTGGCAATCGTTTCTCATTTTGGGTAGACTCTCAGCAATTATATTGAACGTGATTGTATTTAGCGGTTCAATTTCTATTATTATCTGTGTTCATTGGATAATCGTAGTTCTAGCTCTAATGTTTTCTGTGACAGACATAACGGCAGATTGTGCTAGATGCTGTCGTTATTTCGTTATCACGTTTCTCGTGTCTCCTTTTATCATTTATCCATTGCTCTTTCATGTTTCCCACTCATCTGTCGCTTGTTTGGAGAAGGTTACACCTAACGATTATCGGATATCGCGGAAATTTAAAGTTGTTGCAGTTACATTGGTACCGATCGTTTTCTTGGTGTTTCATTGTGTTGGTGGCGTCTTTGCCATCGTAGTTAATGGTCAAGATGCATTACTTGTTTGGTATATAGCAATCGGGTGCGTGTATGTTCTTGCGTTCTTCTTTGAAGCCATTTATTACTTTTGCTGGAGTCCACTGCCATAGACCAATAGGCAATAGGTGCATGCTATGGTTTCTCCAGAGTCCCGCTCCACACAGTCTTTGGCAAGATCTATACGTATTGTATTAACCTTTACTGTCGATGCAATGGAAGTGTTGATAAAATATTGCACCAATTCCGCTTTCCTCAAGTTGATCAATTCATTTGATAGAAACTTGATCAACTTCCTGTTACTTTTAAATGAGCCAATTAGATTTCGTTTCAGAACCGATTGACCAATAGGAAACGCACAGGTAGTAAAAAGAAATTTGAATTCGTATGAATTGATCAACTTGAGGAAATGAATTCATGCAATATTTTGTCAGCACTTCCATTGCATCGACAATAACTCCGAAAACGAATATTTTCAATATTTCAGTTTTCGACTATATCTTACTTTTAGTCATTCCAGGAATGATGTTAGTTAACAAATAACCAATAATTTTTCAAATCAGACATAATTTGACATCGAATAACTCAAGTTGAAATCAAATGCCAGAATTCCTTTTTTAAAAGCTAGAAGTCCGTTTTCAAACGCTAAAACTCTGTTTTCAAATGCCAGAACTCCCTTTTCAAATGGGAAAACTGAGTTTTCAAATACCAGAACTACTTTTTCAAAAGCCAAAACTACGTTTTCAAAGCCAGAACTCTCTTTCCAGTGGCGTAGCCAGCCCGACAATTTGGTCATGCTATGCAAATTTTAAATCATCATTATTCATTTCTTTAGAAATTGATTGTTTTCACAGTCTATGAACACGGAAATATTTGCATAGCATGACTAAATTGTCGGACTGGCTATGCCACTGCTCTTTTCAAAAGCCAGAACTCCGTTTTCAAATGCCAAAACTCCGTTTTCAAAGCCAGAACTCTCTTTTTGAATGCCAAAACTCTGTTTTCAAATGCCAAAACTCTATTTTCAAATGCCAGAACTCCCTTTTCAAATTCCAAAAGTGTTTTTTCAAAAGCCAGAACTCCGTTTTCAGATGCCAAAACTCTATGTTTAAATGCCAGAACTCCCTCTTCAAATGCCAAAATTCAGTTTATCTTCTTAGTTATCCGTGAAAGCCTATTAATTTCGCAACTTACGATTACCCTGTCCTTAATGCTAATATTAGATTTATTTCTCTCGAGTTATTTTAGTTATGTAATATTAACTTTACCTATACTAACCATGCACTTAACATAAATCTTTACTAATTAACTAGTTACTGATAAGTTGTTTTCCTTTCTATCATTTGTTTTTTCAAACTTTATAACCGTTTTTGCAATATTAAACCATTATTTTGTAAAAATATATACCATACTATGCTGTTCATACCCTGTAAATTCATTTAGATTGCTCTGAAGTTGTTCTATTGTAAACAACGAAGCGTTAGCTATTAAAATTTTTACTTTTATTATGTTTGGTTTTAAAGTTATTTGCTTGGCTTTGGTTTTTATCTTTAAATTAAATATTGGATATTCATTTTATAAATATCTTATAAATATCCTTGTATAATGCATGTATAATGTAATATAAACTAGCATGATAAATTAATTAGCTCAGCCTAATTCGGAAAATGTACTTACCGAAACCGCGCAAAAAACAAATGCCCGGAACAAGGTTATGAAAATGTCTTTTGGGAAATCTTGAGAAACAACATCTTCGTCGCAGGACGAGGCCTGGTGACGAGGATGGGAGGTGTCTGTTTTCACTGAGCTCTATATGTATCTGGAGTGAGAACTTCAGTCATTCGGCCTATGAGAAAAGTGAAGCCAAGATGGCGGCCAGGCCATTGACATCCATTGAACTATAAGTAAACTGGAACGATAATTCCTATGATAAAGGCCTATGTTTGGGTGAAGCCAAATTTCGGGCGCTCAAGTACAGCCTGTTCGCAGGTATATGTATGCGAAAATAAATACTGACTTTTTTACGAAGTATTTTTACTAATTTAATCCTTAATTTTAACTTATTAAAGTACGTTTTTGAATATGTGGACATCCATTAACAACTGTATCTAAGATTTTTCTACATGCATAAATTGTCTTTGAACTCTTTCGGGAAAGTCTAAAAACTCAGAAAAACCATAAATTTTCGCGCGGTTCAGTTGCCGAGTTTCGACTTGTTCGTGTCATATTTCGGCAGTTAAACGATATTTGCTTATTTTATGTGCAGAAAACACTCATAACCGGCTTCAAAGATGGCGGCGAACTTATCGTTCCAGTTCAATGTTGACATCCAATAGCTCTGCAGGTCATAAACAGTTTTTATACCATTTTTCCCCAGCTAGTTTCAGTTTTTCTAACAGTTTTTCGAACGTTTTCAGTTTATAAAATCATAATATTAGTTCTTAAATCGAAGTCAAAATGCGAAATTTCGGCACATGCTAGCTCCTTGCCAAAATGGCGGAAACTGAAGAGCTATACAGGACGTCAGTTCCAGTCCCTTCCCATTGCTTTTGTCTGCGCGGTTAACACGAAGCTGGCTTCGCTTTTTGGACCCGAGTTCTCACTCTAGATTCATATGGAGCTCACTGTCTGTGCTTGTGCGCAGAAGTCCTGGGTACGAGATTGATACCAAACTAAACTGTAGGGTGACCGAAAGACTAACTACTATTTTTAATTTACATAAATGACTTACCAAATTGTTCTGAAAAACTGGAATTTAAGATATTTGCGGATGATACAAATGTATTTGCTTCTGCAAGTGACTTAAAATCACTAGAAATCCTTATGAATTCGGAATTAGAAAAGATCAAAGAATGGTGTGACGTCAATAAACTATCAATAAACATGTCCAAAACGAATTTTATGATAATTAAGTCACCAAAGAAAAAAGACATGAGCATTGATATACACATTAAGACAAAGGAAGGATCATGCCACTCATTGGACAGGAAAGATCATATCAAATACCTAGGGGTTATGATTGATACTTCGCTATCATGGAAATATCACGTTTCATACATTTGTTCACGAATATTTCGAAACATTGGAATTCTCTCCAAATTGAGGGGCCCTTTGAGGCACTATCTTTCCATTAAACAGCTCCGACAACTATATTACAATCTTATATACCCTTTTATATCGTATTCAATTTTAGCTTGTGGAAGCGCATATAAATGTCATATTAACAAAGTACAAATAAAACAAAATAAAGTTGTAAGAATAATCTTTAATGCAGTGAATTATGGAAAACACACTGAAAGCGCTCTCCCCTTGCTAAATCTTCTAGATATTTTAACAGTAAATAATGTCTACTCCCTACATGCCCTTAAATTTATTCATCTATGGCATAAAGGCCTTTTGCCAAATTTATTTAATGCATTTTTTCAATACGCAAGCAATATTCACAATTACAATACTAGATATGCGTCTAAACAAAATCTGTATAAACCACGTGTGAAATCAAATACCGGAAAACAGATGATCTCGATCTTTCATAGCAATTGATCTCTGGAAAAAAATCCCTGATCAGCTAAAGGATCTAAATATATTTTCCTTTTCCAAAAAGTTGAAACATTATTTACTGACACAACAATATCTTGCAAGAAATAATTGATTCTACTTAATCATGATATACCAAAGTGTAATAATAATATAAATAATAAATCTTCTTCCTTGTGGAACTTAATATATTAAATAGTGTGATTTTTCTTTCTTTTGGATTTTCTTACCTCTTCTTCTAAATAATATATTAACAGTAACTGGAGGCTAACTCGAAAACTTCATAGTTTATTTAGCTTTCAGGCTCTAAAACTATAATTACGATATATTTATTAAATTTCTTAAAAAAAATGTGACCTTTATAATTGTGTATGTATTTGTAATTTATTTTCCATGTAAAATTATTGAGCAAAATAAAAAACTTGAAAACTTGAAACTAACGAATCGCCATTATCAGTTGGGTGTTCAAACGGACCACGCAGACTATAGAAGCGTCACAAACTACTAATTTTTTCAACATTTTTATTCAGTATGACATATTATTCCAAGTAATTAGTATAATTATTACGCTAAAAAATATTGTGAGGGTTAACTAAGTATAAAGTTAGATTATTTGAATTGTCACAAAAATACAATATGTTTAAAGAGCTTGTATGTTTGCCTCCGTTATTGCCGCGATTTGATGCAAAAAGCAAAGTTTATATTTTAACATTTTAGAACGCTTTTTATTGAAACGATGCAATATAGTGCATGATTTACTGACCGCATTTACGCTACCTGCATGCCTTCTATAATACAGTGAATTAACAAACCATATTATTGAACTAGTTATATGCAGCAGGCAATGAGGCACTCTTCCCGTAGTAATAGCTATGGACTACAAGTATCAGAATAAGTCCACATTTTCACCCTTGCTGCCGTTCTGTTGAACATAAAGGCACACACAGACCGGACGCGATTCGGCAACGCGAGGCAAATTTTCAGTTTTCAAAAACAAATCACTGAACCGTCAACGTATAAAAAATTTAGAAGATATGCAGGCCAAACAGCTAAAATTGCTTAAGTGGTTCCGAATATTTGAAAAACATAGAAAAATAGTAAAGTTAAATGCCATTGAAAATTGAAAATTCGCGTCGCAATGACGAATCGCGTCTGTATGGACCTTAGTCGTTAAAATCAGCCGAGTTTTGATATTGGTAGCCTATCAGTTCTGGCTGTTCTCTCTAGACTAATAGAGATCCAGTGTTATACTATACTAGGAGTAGGAGGAAACCTAAATTTAAATTGATCTTTCGGTATTTGACAGACAGACTTGTCCAATGTTAATAGCACTCCAGACTGACTAGAGAAAACCAGACAATAATACAATACTAATATTCGATGTGTGAAAACTAGTGAATATGTATGCAAAATTTCATGCTTTTTCATCATTAAATATTAATTAGTCTTACAATATTTTGTCTTTGCACGGAGCAATCTGACAAGTGATAAAACCCATGGTCGGTTTTAATGAGTTCGAAAAGTTTCACCCTAATGACGTCATTAACGCGACAAAGAAAAGTGATACTTACATTGGAACGTAAAAGAAAACGCCTCGTGTGTGCGACAAAACATGAACTTAATTGAATTAAGAATTATATTGTAAATTGGTGAATTGAAGGATAAGAAATTTCAATCCGGTAGTTCCTGCTTTCTCGCCATTTAGAAACCTTCGTGTGTTTTGTAAGTATAAAAATATACCAACGCACCGAATCCTGTTTTTCTCGGATACGCCGCCAGTAAAGTTTAACTTGTTTGTAGAGTGAATAGCCTGGAACAAAATGTCTGCATCAGATATTCAGATGTACAGTGATGGATTATCGTGATATTCTTCATCAATAATCCTTGTACCCGTCTTGTAACTAGTAGCTATCCATGCTCTATAATACTATATGTAGTCTTCTATTTTATAATAAACAAGAAAATTTGTTCACCTGGTGTACGGTACGAGTGTAATTTAAGTTAAAGGTGCCCTACAGTTCGATCTGCGCATGTGCACAAAGGAGCCCGCTTTTTATGATACAAACAGTTTAACTATGTTTTGGGTTCTTGCAAAGTCTGATTGTTGTTTCTTGATCATTTATTATACTCTAGAAGCTTGAAAATATAAATAGTTGTCGAATAAAGCTCAATATTTTGGACACAAAAATGTAAACAAAGGCTTTGTATACATACGGACTGAGGGCACCTTTAATAAAAAGTTCCTTCAGTTTTGGTTTAAACAAACCCAGTGCGATATCATCAATGTTTTTCAAGTTGAAGAGCGTTGCACCTCTTACCATATTTTAGACTTGGCTAACTCTGTTTTAGAGGAAGCGATTATATAATTAGTGTCGGACGACATGTTTACATTACATGGGAATCCCCAATGAAGTACTATAGTGGTCAAGGTCGGGCCAAATTATTGAATCAGTTCTGCATGTTTTCCACGAAATTAAAATTTCAACATTCGATCAAAATCAACATTAATTTTAACTGGCCCCACTGTCTGGTCTGAATTGTGTCGTCCTTAAGTCATTTCCTGAAAAGATCTAGCTAGTCGAGTATGAGTGCAAATTAGTTTCCGTGCAGTCTCATAATTTCATGACATCCTGCATGAATGTTACAACTTCTGGCAAGCCTAGAGCGATTGTTGTCATGAAACAGTGAGCAAACTAAGTACAACAACGTCAATACTAATGTAAACTGATCATTTTAATCCACCGCACACCTGTGCAACGGCCGATAGTTATAAGTGAGACCCGAGACGAGATGCGTCTACGAAACAATCTTTATCTATTCAGTGACGTTCATCAACTGATCCACTTACAGGAAACTATAGTGTTTCGATGACAATGAACAGAATTCCGTTATACTATATGAAATGACTATAGTATAACTCTCTTCAACGGTTGAATAATGTCTTAAAATAACTAACCAGTCTTATTTATATTTTCTCGGAACTAAAGATCATTTTATGTCAAAATTCTATGTCATTTGATCTTGTATATGTCCATTTCCACTGTGATTTGAAGCAGCAACTACTTCATTCTTGACAATGTCTGCATGCTTGAAATTCTCAAGTACTGCAAGATATAATGGTTATTTGGAAGTCATAGATTGGACATTATAACTTATAGTGAACCAAATCGCCTACATAGAAAGTATTCGTTATCTATGCCCTAGCATTCATTATTGCAAAGCAAATTTCTCGAATTTAAGACTCCAAAATTTGAAATAGGAAGTTGCCCTCTGGAAGTTGCTGATACATATACCTTGCCAATTGGCTTGTGTATAACATGCTAATTAACGCTGGTTAATCTGGTTTCAATTAATCCGGATTACTGAAATCAGTTCGAAAATTCCATTTCTACACCCATCCCAATTGGCATTGCGTCATGACCCACAGTCAGAAATTGACTTCGCGTGTTTGGTAGCATGAGTTTTTTTTGTTACAATAGTACATCGGACGATGCCAAAACAATTGGTAGTTTAATCCCCTTTCAAACATGTTTCGAAAGTATTGGTTTATAATCATATCTATAGCTTCGCCGTTCGGAATCGGGCCCTCGCTCAGGCGAAAAGTGTCAGTTCGCTATTTTAGGCTCATCTGAGTGGATTAGCTTTCCGAGTTCTAAATAAACACCTGCATGTTTTGCATGGGAAGACAGATCAGGCCCGATACTGCAGGCTACATGTTATCTTAGACTTTGTAGTCATCGCCTCCCCGCGTCGCTGTGTTTTTAAAACCTACATGAATATTCTAAACATTTCTGATAAAATCGCATGTTCCGCGTGCACTGATGCATTGTGCAGGACAACTACATTTTGACATGCGACCCCTGGCTTCCTGGAAAAGAATTTCTAAGAGAAGAGCCAGGCATGATTCACAAATTCCATCACTCGTCAGTGCATTCAGATTTTCAATTCAATTTTCAGAGATAAATAGCTACACGTGGCGAACGACTTCAATACACGCGTGATACACACGTAAAAACGCCACATTGAAAAATTCCCACAGTCCATAGTCCTAGCACGAAGTTATGTAAACGTACGTCCGTTTGAGCGATTTTTAGCAATAACCGCCCACTATAGAAGGAGATAATCCCGAAGTGATAATCCCGCGTTTATTGGTTCATGGGAGTCGCGTGCGTTCGTGACAGCGGCCAATAACAAACGCTGAGTCGCTGACGATGGGCCTTCGCCCGAAACGTCCTGGCAGAATTATTCTTCATATTGCATTTATATTATATGATGGGAAAATGACAGGATTATAATTTTATATTCATGATAAATTTAGGCGCCATTTAAAAGCCCTCCACGCTTTTGCAGAAGCTAATAAGCTTAAGTAAGTAAGTGAACTTTATTCCACGGTAAACTCGCCAGGATTTTACACGTCAATTACAGAATATTACAAATTTTATATACGTATACATCACCATATAAAGTTGCTGCATCAGATTTGAATTTACGTAAAGTGCTAGCCTGTCATGATTGGGCTAGAAGGATGTTCCACAGTAACGTACCGCTATAGCTAATACTATTTTGCAAATATTCAAAGTTTTGGGGGCAAGATTGGACAGGAATACAAATTTTGTGAGAGGCAGATTGATTTACCTCTTTTCCCGGCCGTCTTTGAGGGATGAGCTTGCTCATGAGTCTATGACGTAGTCCTGAGCATATGACGTAAGCTCCTACACCACGCCTTTCCCCTTCCATTCCTATTTATCCCTCTCTTTACGAATAATTCATTCTCCTTACTTTGTTTTATAGCAAAATTTTGTTCGAATTATTCAAATGGCTATTTGGGGGAACAAATTCTTATAATAATCCTTGAATTACACGCGACATGCAGGAAGGGCTGATGTGTCAACTTTTATCCGATATAATTAAGCGAATTATCATTAGACCGGACGGAAGAACTCGAAACCTTTGACTCTTTAACCTCAACTTATGCATGCTTCTCTGTCATGTCATAATACGCAGTAAGATATTTAAACATATAAGTAAACAAATTTATCGAATATAGGATATACGGGAATATAAACTCGTATTTATAGCCGGTTTCATTTGCATATTTTACGAACCCATACTGTTGACATAACAGATTTATGGAGACATCTGTTATTATATCTATTAATACGCGATTGCGTAATGCGTGGCAAATCGCACGATTCGCACCTGATTCGCACAATATAAATTGCGCAACCCGTTGTGGGAGAACGCATAGATAAGTTAACTCGAGTCGTGCAACTTCGGTCAACTCCGATTCATCAAGGGACAAAATCAATTGGAATTTTTCGCGCAAGGAAAAATACATTGAATATATTGCGCAAATATATACTACTACGAAGACGAAAATATGTTTGGGAAAGGAAAATCGGTTCAACATTCAGTTTTTCCGACCCACAATGGAGTCCTGTCACACGCGGCTGCGTTTGTGGTCACCGTCGGTTTCGTGATGTACACATCCTCCGATAGAAAGCAAGAAGGCTTGTCGCCATTGGTCAAGACTATCGTACATTTCATTCATTTGTTTAGCTTTTCAACGTGGGTCGGAATTCAGTTTTGGATCCATGTGTCAGGTACGAAATTGCTCATCAATTAACAACATCGAAAACTTCATGAAATTAGCTGCACTGTAAAAATGTTTAATTGGTGAAATTGAACATTTTGGATTTGGCTATGTAATAAAAACCTTTTTTCCTCAGCTATGCGGTAGGCCATCAGCCATAGACGTACTGTTCACTATAGTGTAACTGTGAAAGATTATCTTTCATAAATAGTCTGAAAGTATACACCATTATTTTGGTCAGTGTTTCAATTTTTTTACCCCTATTAGAGTATACTGCATGTGTAGTGCCATACTATTTTGAAAGGAGAAATCCTGAATATAAGTCTATATATGCATGACAATTTCGTTATCATTAGACAATTTTTGAACGTACCAATGTAATATTCTGCTCGGTCAAGGTCAGAAGGACAAAATCACGGGTGACGCATTCACCAAAACACTTTTGACTGACTGTCTTTTCTCGGAGATGTATTCAATAACTGATGACCTTGTCCTTGTGAGTTGCCCTTGATATTAAAATATTTGTTTCAAATTAAGAAACACAAAACAGTTCGTCTATCTGGAGTAAAAAACTAACAACCGAAACTATAGCTTATCTTTTCGGCATTCCTTGTGATTTTGTTACAGTATACTTTCATCATCGTTTTCGGTCCTGATTATAATTTACACAGTTTTGAATTAAAGATGCGGTACAGTCCGATCTGCGCATGTGCACAAAGGAGCCCTCTTTTTACTGATTTACAAACAGTTTATTTAGATTTTTATTTCGTTTTATGTTCTTGCAAAGCTTGATTGTTGTATGTCTGTTGATAATTTATTCGACTCTAGAATCATGAAAATATAAATAGTTGTCGAATAAAATTCATTATTTTGGATACCGAAATGTAAACAAATCTTTTGTTTACATACGGATTCAGTACCGCATCTTTAATGTTTATTTTTTCTTTGTATTTTCCCGCTAAAATGTTGTCCCACTTCACTTGACTGTGAGTCCTACCTAGTGCAAGCATGGGTCGTACGTTTCTCATATGAACAGATTAACAGAATTGAATTTTATTGAGCGTTTACAAAGGACATGCTGCACATGCACGCAGATTTCACTAGCTCAGTTGAGGTTTCCCAGTAAACTAGGCTCATATATGAGTGAATAGGCACTATTTTTGCACAAGTGACTGATAACAAATCGTATTAGTTGATTGGTCAAATTTGACGTATTAAGCTGTTATTTTCATCATTCACCTACAGGTGAATATAACAAAACCGAAATTTTCAAAATGGCAGCTAGCTGTTTTGTGGAAGTTACTATAATAAAGAAATAAGCGAAATTAAAATAAATTCAGTCCCAAAAAACACAAAAGACTTGTAAAAATACAAAAAACGTGTAAAAATACTAAAACAATTATTCGCCTCAGGCTCGGTGTTCGTCTCGGTGAATATTCCCCGATAATCACCTCGCGCCTTCGGCGAATAATTGTTAAATATTCATCAGTACTACCAATTATAGGTATGAGTATTAAAAATGAAATTTCTTTTGTATTTTAGGCTTTACAATGTACAAAACATTAAAGAGGACAGCTTTTATGGCAGTTCAAAATAAGATGTTCCCAATGTATTTCATGGCAGGATTTATAACGAGTTCGGTCGCTTTACTAACACATCTCCATATCAACTCCGTTATCTCATGGCAAAATGACAGAATTGCTTTCTATCAGGTGAGATATGGTTATGATGTACTATTAAGTATATACACGTTTACAATATTATATACTAAACTGACTACTGCGAATAAACTTTTTCGCTTTTGCTAATCAGTTTTTATTCCCTCACTTTTTAGACTGTCGGATTGATGGTGTCGCTAATGTGTTGCGTGTTAAATCTCACATACCTCGGTCCAGAAACCGTCCGTCTCGTAGAGCTCAGAGCGGCTCGTCTCCAGGTCCTGGGAATCAAAGATGGCGTCGGGCCAGTATGTGTGAACCTCGTGAAGAACGATGCAGAATATATGTCGATAAGAAAATCGTTTTTAATAATGCATGCATTTTGTTCGTTCGTGAACCTTTTCTGTTACGGCGCTTGTGGTGTAAATATTTGGTGCTTGGCTAGCAAACATACATTGTTATAAGACATTAGGATTCAGCACCAGACCAGACTAATTAAATTAAATTAAATTTAATTTATTAACTTTGCCAGATTCAAAAACGTTAACACAAAAACTGGCAGGGCAATGGCAGAAGCTTGCGCCAATTGCCGCGATCCCTACTAAATGTTAGACAAATATATACTAGGGCTCATAGAAAAAATCAACTATATATTACTAACGAACTATCAGATTAGTTAAGGCCATGTTACACGGTGCAATTTTTCTTGCAACTTGCAATGCAATTCTACTCTTGAGAGATGTAAAATTGCCAAATACGAGTCTTCATTACACTCCGCTGATGTTTTCTCAAAATATCGAAAATTCTTCACTGATTTCACTAATTAACATCTCTCAAGAGTAGAATTGCATTGCAAGTTGCAAGAAAAATTGCACCGTGTAACATGGCCTTTACTTTTCACATTGCGACCCACTGGACCACTTTAAGTTGGTTCACTGTCGCCGACAAATCGCGCGTAGTTTTTGACTACCGTCGACTGTTCGCCGATGAATTACGACAGCCGCGGTTCAACAGAATCGACTCGATTTGTCGGCGATTTTGTGTCGGTTCAGTGACGGATGCAAATGAGTGAACTCGCGCACAAAAGTATATAGAGTCGCTTTTCAGAAGTGAATAATTTACAATCAGTCTAAGCCGGTCTTTTGCATGTCATTTATTCAATCACATCTGCCAAGAGGAGAAAAATCGGCGACAGAACCAGGCTTATAGGAAACGATTATAGATTCTACAAAACAGAACATTGAATAGTGTAAATAACATGATTGCAGTTTATTTTATAATAATCAGTATTTATAAAAACATAGGTTTAATTATAAATTTTCAATGTGAAAAAAAAAACGTGTCAAATGTGTCTGTATATTTCCATATGTATAGTTGCAGGAATTTTGCAAGCACATATGGTTGTGTGTTTTTCAAATTCCACTTAAGCTTTTTGCATATATTTTTGTTGAGATCTGCCACGCCTTCCAATGCAGGATGTCTAATTGTCCACTCTAAAATGCTGTGTAACTCCGGAAAACTTGTAACATGTTAAGTGTAATATCCTTTGACGCAATTACAAGGTAAATTTAACTGAACATAAAAAGGTCTTTTTAAATATGATTCTCTGATTAAATACTAATCTGACAACCGTGGGTATAAAATACGCCGAAAACCATGAGTGATCATACTTTCATTAACCACGGAAATAATGTATGCCGCAAACAGTACATGGTGTATACAGCTAATTCAAAAAAGGTTGTCCTTTGCAAACCTTAAACTCTAAGCGCGCAAAGCATAATGGGAGCATCATTTAATCAGTTTAGAAGTGCAATGTTCAACTACAAAGTCATTCACAAATTCATTCACAAATCAGAGCTGCACATGCAATATTCAACTACAAAGCTTAAAACTTGTGCTCCCGTAAAGCTTTGCGCGCTTTGAGTTTAATGTTTAAGGTCGATCAGTATATATATGCAGCCAGTTCACAAAAGGTATATATGATAAACTTAAACTCGGGAAATTTGCTTTGCAACAATGGTAGGGCAAATATAATAATCACTTTCGATGTAGGGTAAGCCGCGTATATATTGTCCATTTTTAGGCTCCAAATTTAGCAATACCCAATAATCAATATATATAATCGCAGCCGGATATAATCCCTCAGCTTGCCACGTTTAATTTGTAAACCTGAACACAAGATCGAGTTGTGAGACAAACTATCGAATTTTCTTTGTACGTCCATGTATGCATGGTTGTCCGGCGTGGTCCAGACCATCTTTGGTATGAACTCAGTCCAATATTTCTGGGGGTGTTTTCTCGCTGAGGCTCTTGTAGCTAGCGTGTGAAAGCAATAAAAGGCTTTAATATAGAGATAATTGCTTTGCAATCATTATACCAAATACGTTGTCATGCAAATTAATAGTGTATCTAGTAGGTCATTGTTTTTTTCATTGTTGGTCTTTTAAATCGCGGAACTAGACGACGGAAATAGACGATTCTCAAACATAGTTTTTCCTATTCTGTTGACGCTAAGTGTATATCCTGTTTCTTACAATTTTTCTAGGGTTTTCTAGTATTTTGCCCCTCCCCAAAACCACCCACATATAAGTTGTTTGCGATCATTTTTTACATTCAACTGATATACTGAAAGTTTGGCCTTAATTATTCCGCTCATATATATTATAGGGTGTCCCGAAATTGAAAATAAGCTGTCTTCCAGATTTTTACATTTGATACCAAAAATATTACATTTGGTCTGGTTTGATTGTTAACTAGACAAACCCGGCAGATAGTCTCATTAACCCATTGACTGCCAGCCCGTGCCAGGCTTCCCTATCACGAGTGAAATCGTCTGGCGCATAGACATGCAGAGTAAAATAATAAAGCAGGGCGCATTAGGCCGCATTGCCACTTCAAAGTTGAGTTAATTGTGCCATGGCAAGTTTCCAAAAGTTGTTGGACGTTTGTAGTTCAAGAACAACTTGTAATAGCCTAAGTAACAACAATCAGACGTTGACAACTTGCCAAACTGAGCTAGAAAAAAACTTGCGAAAACATCCTGATAAGAAACATCGTTGAAACTGCATTGGTACATTCTGCTGCAGGTTTTGTATATACAAGTTGTGCATTTTTACATATGCTTTTCTTGTTACAGATCTGAAAACAAAATTGTAACGAGGTTGTTGTCAAGCCGATATCGGGATGTGTTCGCAATGCTTGTTCCCAGTTATTGCGACATGTCTGAAACAAGTTGTTATCACCTTGTTACAAAGTTGATGATGGTAACAGACTTGCTACAAGTTGTTCCAACATGACTAATACCGACAAGCTGTTCGTGACAAGTTGCTACGAGCTTGTTGTCATCAACTTGTTAACAACTTGTTATGAGTGTAGACGATATCAGACTTGTTCACGAGAACAACTTGTCATGCGAGTCTGTTGGCCTCATCAACCTTGTTACAAGATGATAATAATTTGTTCCAGACTTGTCAACAACTGGAAACAAGCGGTATGAACACATCTTGCCAGCTGTGAGATTTCAGTAGGCTAGACTTGCCCCATTAAGTCGATCTTGCTTGAACTGGTTTCATTTTTCAGTGATAGGGTCCAGTTTGTTATAATGAGACCAGTTTCATTTTCAATATATCCAGTATCATTTATGAGAAAACAGACTTGGATAGACCTTATCAAAACGAAGCAAAGTCTTGTTCGAACTGGTTTCGTTTTTGATAGGGTCCAGTCTGTTATGAGACCATGAGTTTCATTTTCAATATATCCAGTGTCAATTATGAGAAAACAGACTTGGATAGACCTTATCAAAACGAAGCAATTAGGTAGAACAGTTTAGAAGTAACACGATTATCCTTTACATAATTTACATAAAAAGAGTTCACCAAATTCTCATGTTTCCCATAGGAAGAGACGGACAAATACCACAGCAATAGTTTATACCAAATTCCTAATTCCTAAGCAACGGTATTCAGAATTGGAATTGAGTTTGAATTGAATTGTTTTGCCCTAGCTTTCGATAAATTTCCGGTACTGTTACAGGACTGTTACACAATATTTCGAAATTATTACATGGTAATAGTCTTGTGATCATCATGTGATGCAAGAATGATCTGTGGCCATGTCAACCGACATGTGGGCGTTGTAATGCAAGTGTTCCTTCGCCGGCACATGATCACATGCAACCGGACTCGTTCACCCACCACGTTCACAAACAAGGAGGAATGCACAGCGAGGGTTGATGTTTTTTATCATGGCTTACGATAGATCATTGTTTTCACTCCAAAGTCAAAGTAAGTAGACTGCAGTAACATTATTTTTTCACAGGATAGCCCTCAGGGCATTTTAGACTGAGGAATTTCACTGGCAACTACGGGGCAAAATCTTAATGAAGGCCTTTTCCTGATACATTTATTAAGACTATTCTGTGCTGACTATTATAAGATGAGATGTGGAACATGTAAGAGAATATGAGAGAGCAAGCATGCAGATTTCTCGACGAGTTTGAATCTTTTTATTAATAATAAAAACTGCTCAATTCATCATAAAAAGCAAAGCCAAAAGGGCCTACTTAACCTGAGGGAAATGACCCATTATAGTGATGCTCTCATTACTCTGTCTAAGCTGTTCTTTCTTTAGGATGAAACTAAACTAAACTAAACTAAACTAAACTAAACTAACTCTGCTATTTCTACTATCAGTTCCAAACTGTACTAGCTTTATGGAGGTCCAGTAAGGACTCGTGGCTCGTGTTATTACTGCAGAATCCAGCAGGAAACCTAAACTAAACTAACTTTATTTATACTGGATAGCTCTATCAGATCTAAATTGTTCTTCCTAGAGGTCCAGTGAGGATCATCTCTTATTGATCCAGTGTTACTACAGGAGGGAACCTAAACCTAACTTTATTTATACTGGATATAGCTCTATCAGTTGTAAACTGTTCTCCTTAGAGGTCCATGCAGTAAGGATCATCCCTTATATTGCTCCAGCGTACGTTACTACAGGAGGAAACCTAAACTAAACTAACATTATTTATGCTGATATCTCCTTCAGTCAGTCAGTCTAAACTGTTCTTCCTAGAGGACCAATTCAATAAGAGTAAACTGAGTCATCTCTTATATTACTGATCCAGTGCTACTACAGGAGGAAACTGGAAACCTAAATTGAACTAACTTTATTTATACTGGATAGCTTTATCAGATCTAAATTGTTCTCCCTAGAGGTCCAGTAAGAGTCATCTCTTATTGATCCAGTGTTACTACAGGAGGCGAGGGGCAATTCACTCCAAAAATCCCGTACACTTCGTCAAAAAATCCGGAAAAAATCCAGAAAAAATCCATGAAATCCTCAAAATCCGTTAAATCCATCAAAATCCAAAAAATCCTTCAAAAATCCACAGAAATCCTTCAAAAATCCACAGAAAT